TTCCTGCTGCTATCCCTGTGAAATTGCACTCATGGGAAACACAAGGAAGAGCTAAGTATAGACTAGCATTAAGTATTGATTTAAATAGATCTTTCCAGTATTAGTGTTTATAGACTGTTTATAGTTTGTGTGAGGGCCATCTAAAAGATAAACACTCCAATGAACTGAGACACCAATTATTTCCTGGCATTCCTAGCTTGTGAGAAGTATTAAACCTACCACTAAAAGAAATTCCTGGGTCTGTTCAGCCTGCAGTACTGGATAGTGTACCTGTGAGGGATGATGTAAGATTTCTTTCCATACAGCAGTAATTTACTGCATATAAAAAAAGATTCAGCATATAGATAAAGTTTCCTTTAATCAGTAAAGCCTAGATAACTCTGGTTTTGTACCTGAAGTGAACAGCTAAGCTACCTCCCATGCTTTGAATCAACTGAATGTATATCAAAAAGCCATTTCTCACTGCCAAACCAGAACTGACTTCAACTCATTAGTGAACTATATTTCAAGTAATCAAGACAAACATGTTTCTAACTGTGTGTCTGAGGGCAAGTAACAAGACTTGTATTGGAACAGAGCCAGATTACACAGCTTCTAGTGGAATGAGCAGTCGTCTTTTAGATTTTCTAGCATTGCCACAGCTCATGGCTTAGTATCAGTATTCAACACAGAGCTATAAAAACTGGGAATTAAGATGGAGAATTGAAATTGATCTCCAGATCTAGTGGTAAAGAAACCAAATCATTTGTAGATATTGCCATCTGGATTGCACCCCCTGGTTTGTTTTGTTCCGAAATTTATTTCTACTTTTCTTCACTTTGTTCTTTACAGCTTCATTTATGAAAAAGAACTGTTGTCATCTCAAAGAAAGTTATGGCTAGGAAATGAAGTTAAATGACTGGGCAACACACCAGACCCACTGTCAGTACCGCTCAGGCTAGGCTACTGATTCAACAGTTTGCATGGAGGTCCACTTTGACCCAGAAAAAGCAATAGGCTGACTACAGTCCTCCTGGGCTGGCCATGTGTTGCACACTGACTTCATGGGTAGGAACTGCAGTAATGCTGACCCATGTTGAGGTAGTCCCTACCTAGAAAGGCACAGAACAGAGAAGAGGAAGACTGGCTGACTCCCATTAGAATGCAAGGTCCAAGAACAATCTAATCATAGAAATGATCACAAAAATAATAGAACAGCCCAGGTTGGAAGGGACCTCAAAAGATCATCTGGTCTAACCTTTCATTGGAAAGGAAACCTAGATGACATTATCAAGCACTCTGTCCAATTGCATCTTGAAAACCTCCAGTGATGGGGACTCGACCACATCCCTGGGGAAGTTGTTCCAGTGAATGATTGTTCTCACTGTAAAAAAAGATTCTTTCTTATATTGCGATGAAACCTCTCCCCGTGCAACTCGTATCGACTGCCCCTTGTCTTCTTCCACATGGATCCTTGTGAAGAGAGTGCCTCCATCCTCTTTGTAGCCACCCTTAAGTACTAGAAGAATCCTGTGATGAGGTTCCCCCCTGAACATTCTCTTCTCCAGGGAGAAGAGCCTGAATTCCTTCAAGTCTTTCCTCACAGGGCAGGTTCTCCAACCCTCTGATCATCTTCATGGCCACCCTTTGGACCCTCTCCAGTCTGTCCACATCTGTCTTGAATTGTGGGGACCAGAACTGGACACAGCACTCCAGGTGCAGCCTGACAAGCACTGAGTGGGATGATCACCTCTCTATCTCAGCTAATAATGCCCCTACAAATGCAGCCCAGGATCTGATTTCGCTTTGTTGCTGTAGCTTGATACAAAGCCACAACAATTTACTTCTCTTTGTATTTCATATCCTCTTCCTTAAAACTTACTGATTTTTTTTACTCTTACTTACCCCATGCTTAGCAACAAACTCTGCAGGCCAAGTAGCATATTATCAGGGTGGTTTGCACATTACCCAGAAAGATGTGGCCCTAAGCTGTAGGGAAGGCCACCTTAGTAGTAAGAAAAGAACATAGAGAAGTTAAATAGAAAGTACAAACAACTGAAAAGCTTTATCATTATTCTTCAGATTGTTATTGACTACTGATATTTCAGCAGTCCTGAGAACTCACCCTATCAGGGCTTCATTCTATCGTTCTCCACCCAAACTTTTAAAATACATATTTCTGACCCCCAAAACACAAAATCAAAGCTCTGCAAAATAAGAAGAGGGACCAGACAGACAAGGTTTTATTCAATGAGAACGTAAGATGGTGGTGGCTACGCCTTAGGCATAGCTTGTATCAATCCTGCTCAATTCCAGCATAAGCAGAAGAGCTTCAGCCTAGGTTCTATGATGAGAACACCAAGTAACAGTAGTGAAATAAACATACCAGCTGATTTTTATAACAGCTTCCACTGCAAGAGCAACCACTACGTAATTATGGTTTGACAGAAGAAAGAGAAACAATGCAAATAACTAGCATCCGCATTACTTATACAAAATATCATGGGGAGACGGGATGGCATGAGAGTCACTCCTTGATAAATTCTTCTGTAGATATACCACAATTCCCACATAATCTCACAGATGCTCTTTAATCCACTTTAACTATGCATACTAATATTGGAAACATTTCCCTAACTGCATTTGGCAACATATTCTGCTATGTCTTGGGATACTTCATCCTTACTGGCTACCTGTAATACTAGTGTAAATCTAGGTTAATTGTTACCATGCAAGATACTAAGGCATCTTTACAGTTTTCTTTTTATTGCAGAACTATGTCAGGGTATCTTCCCAGCTGCACCTGACACTTAGTTGCTGAGACCAAGTCAAACTATGCTTATTACTACATCAAGTTCCTTATCTTGCAGGAAGGAATAAGTCAGGAAGTCAACCCTGGCTTTATCACTTCTAACTTTTAAATCACAGTCATGGTAAATCTG